GAGCCTTCATTTTTCTTAATAATATGGATGTGTACTATAATTCAAACAATAGATATTTATGTTGTCTCCAGTTTTAGAAACAGTGCTACAAGAAATATATTTGTGTGTTTTTGTGAACATATGGACAGATTTCTTCTTTTTTTGTAGTTTTTAGCCGGGGCTGGATTCGAATCTACTACCCCCGGTATATATGGCCGGTGCCCTACTCCTTGAGCCACAGGCACTGCCCAGATAGATTTCTTGATGTGGAAATGTTAAATCAAAGAACATACGCCAAATCCTGATAGATGTTGCCAGATTGCCTCCAAAAAGACTGCATGAATTTTCAATCCTTCTAACTATGTTCTTTAGTCTCGTGTTGCCAGTCTTAGAGGTGAAAAATGACATCCTCTCATGTTAATTTGCATGTATTTTATTAGAGTTAAACATACACACACACACACACACACTTTTTTGAGGGGCAGGGGGAGACAAGAGTTTGACTCTCTTGCTCCAGGCTAGAGTACCTTGGCATTAGCCTAGCTCACAGCAACCTCAAACTCCTAGGTTCAAGCCATCATCCTACCTCAGCCTTCTGAGTAGCTGGGACTATAGGTGCCTGCCACAGTGCCTGGCTAATCTTATTTTTCTTTCTATTTTTAGTAGAGACAGGATCTTGCTCAGGCTAGTCTCAAACTCTTGAACTCAAGCCTTGGCCTCCTTGAATATTAGATTTATAGGTGTGAGCCACTGTTCCCAGCCTAAGCATATTTTTATATGATTATTTGTGGGTTTTCTTTTTTGTCTACTGTCCGTTAATATTTTTGCCTATTTTTCTGTTGGACTGTTGTGTTTTCTAATTTTGAGACCTTTTTATATTTTAAGGAAAACAGTGCTTTGACTCTTAACACATACTGTGGGTAGTAGCTATGTTTCTTTGATAACCTCATTGGGATCCCCTCTTTGCTTACTTTTTGTTGATATAGGAAATCCTTCCTCAGGCCCCTGCCAATGCTCATCTGAAGGACTTGGATGAAGAAATCTTTGATGATGATGACTTTTACCACCAGGTGTGATTTTTTTTTTTTTTTATTCTTTCGTTTTAGCATTTTAAAATAAGAGAGAGAATTCTCCGAACAACAAAAGGTAACTTATTTTGAAAGAATAGAGTCAGAAGAACTCCAGAATTATTCAGTATTTGTTGCTGTTCTTCTGTTTACCTTTTGAAATGAAAACAGATATACTACTTTTTTGGTGGTTACTTGAGTGTAAATTATATGTAACATAATTTCAGATTTCTTTGAATGAGGTGGTTTGTTCTTTCTCAGCTGTTTCTGATATTGGAAGACTTTTTGTAGGTTGTTTGTAAATGTTTCTTGTCCTGTTACTGTTAGAGTGTGACATGGAGCTGGGAGTCTGGGATCCCAGAGTTCTTGAATTACACTTCTGGTTCTATGATTACTAAGCCTTTTGTTTTTAATGTTTTTTGTGCCTCTTCAAATCAGTTAAGTATGTATTGAGAGTGTCTGCTACTGTTGGTAATGATAATAGTATAGTGCTGTGAAGACAGACAGAATTGCTAGAATTTGAAATATGGTCCAGTGCTCAATAAGTCTTCACAAACGTCCCCCAATTCTTTTCCTGACATTGCTATTGGCTGAAATGCTGCTCTTTTTAATGATACTAGAGACTGTTAATATAGACTAAACATTTGGGCTATTCTTAAGAACTAAAATAACTTCCTATCTTCCTGGGTCCCTTGATAAGTTCTATTTCTTAATGAAATATGCTTTAGACTGTACCCATTCTATCTTAGTGGAGAAGCAAGGATGCTATTCAGCATTGATACACCAGTTTTTGTCGAGCCATTGTTTATCAAGATAATTTTTTCTCTGTAAAATTTTTAGTGTGTTAACTTCTGCCAAAGAATTTGCAACTGCTTGTTGAAGGTTTAACCATGATGGCAATGCCATACATACAAGTAGGAAGGAAGGTACTTCTTAGGAAAGTTACATGTGAAGCCAGAATAAGTGATTCTCTATTGGGGTTTGCCCTGAAAAGAGAAAGACTTTCTATTAATTTTTTATTCATTCCATAATATTTGATAAATTTATTGCCATGAGTCTTAAGTAATGAGAAGGTATAGGAAAGAGGATTGGTGTGGTCTCAGCTGTTCCTGCCAAAGGTCTTCATTTTTTTTTCCTTTTCTTCTCTTATTATATCCATTTGTCAGAAGAATAGGAAACTCTTGTTTCGTGCTGAAGTGTCTAAGGAAGTACCTGACATAGGATATTAATGCCATATAATTGTGTGAGATCATGGGAGACAATCCAAAGTGTTCCAGTCCTCATTAGTTGAAGTGTACACTGTTTGATGGAAAGTGCATCATAAATTAAATAGGTTTTAATAAAATAAACTCAAATTTCTGGGGAGAAGTTTTTCTATGGGCAGTCCTTAGTCTGAGGTTTTTTTTTTTTGTGCACCTGTAAGTCTTTTTTAAAAGAAATCACCTTACTTGAGTAGCTCTTCATCTCAATTAATAATTTTAACTTCGATAAATTCTGATTTCAGAGTTATGACTAGTCACATCTTAGCTTTTCCCCTTGCTGGTTAATTGGGGTGCTGGGGTTAATCTAAATTAAAACTTAAACTAATAGAGGTCAGCAAGGCAGCTGAAACACCTGAGTGAAACAAATGGGGCTGCCAGGCGCAACTTTATCTTGGCTGTTTCCCAAGAGGGAAGTGGCAGCAAATTGGAGTTGTTTCAGCCTTCTGTAAAGGTGAATGATGGGTGACACTTGTTAATGTACAGCATCTCCGGAAGCATTCCAGATTGCTTTGCTGCTGTACCAACTGCTGCCATCCATGCACAGTCAGTAGGAACTGGACCAGTTGCCAACATCTGGCAGCACAGCAAGGAATGGGTGCAAGTCTTGAAACCCCGCAGATTCTAAATATGGTGCTTAGAACTGTGCAGGCTTTAATCACTTACCCCTCTTTGGCAGCAGGCTACAACAGCTTATCCTAGCCTCGTACATCACATCCCGACATCTGCTGAGCTGCAAGGCAGCTGCACATTCATTTTCTTTTCTTGCCTTTTCTCTTTGCTTCCTATGCCCCTCCTCCTTCCAACTTCCCCCTCCCTTCAGCTTTCCTCTCCCTCCCCTGTATACTTCTTGGGAGAGATGATCTGTAAAGATTACTGCTTCATTGTGTGCAAGTAATTGTGGTGATGCCAGGCCCTTGACAGACATAAGGTAGCACCTGTTCTGCTGACCTGGTTAATTTCTTCTGTTGAGTGGGATTTGCCAGAGATTGGAGCTGAAGCCAATTCAATGATAAGGCTAAAGAAAATGGCTGTATGTTTTCTGTCACCTCCCAATTAAATTGGCTTCATAAAATGCTTTCCTTTATTTGTGAGGATAGTAAGCCTAAGCTAAGTGTTACATTCAGAAGAGGTACAGTATATTACAACGGGCCTGTGAGTTTTCATTTATGGGTTGTTTTTTTTTTAATGTGGTCATATGGAAGAACTAGGTGGTGAAAATAATATATTTCCCTCTTTTTTTTAAAACCATACTTGAAGTCAGACTCTTTGGGTCCATGTTGTGTAAGGAAGAGATTATAGCCACGTTGAATTTTAATGTTTGATTGTAGGTGTTTAAAGGCTTAGTTGGTTAATTCAGGTGTCTTGAAGCTATGTGCATGCCCTAACTACTGAGAATAGATGTGGGGTCAGACACTGCTCCTCCCCTACCACACACACACTCATTTTCACTCTCATTTTTTGTTTGTTAATGAGTTTTAAGTTACTACCACTTTGTATTAATAAAGGTGCATGTATGTATATACATATATGTGTGTGTATTTGGGCATTGAGACTATCAGTTATCATAAATAATCTTAAATCATTTTTAGAGCTGAAAAGAACCTTATAAGAAATTGAGTACTGACAAGGCATGGTGGCTAACACCTGTAATGCTAGCACTCTGGGAGGCTGAGGTGGGTGAATTGCCTGAGTTCAGGAGTTTGAGACCAGCCTGAGCAGGAACAAGACCCCATCTCTGTTTAAAATAGGAAAATTAGCCAGGTGTTGTGGTGGGTGCCTCTAGTCTCAGCTACTTGGGAGGCTGAGGTAAGAGGATTGCTTGAGCTCAAAGAGTTTGCGGTTGCTATGAGCTATGATGCAATGGCACTCCACCCAGGGCACAGAGTGAAACTCTGTCTCAAAAAAAAAAAAAAAGAAAAGAAAAGAAAAAAAATTGAGTCTAAGAATTTAGGTAACTTGCTGAATGTCATATGGTAAATGGTACCACTGGTCCTTGATCTCAAGACTTTGTTAGACAAAGCTTGTTCTTTCCATATCTTTATTTTTTAAATATTTCATTTTTTAGCCATGAAAAGATTTCATTATGCAGTTCTCAGTTTGTAAATAAATAAGCTTCATTTTCTTAGAACCAAAAGAAATATATATTAGAAAGTAATTTTTTTTCCTTAGAAAGAAAATGATTTATTGAACTCCTGTTACTTAACAATTCTAATGAAAAGATTAACTTTATATTTTTGTTACTGGTTTGTTTGGAAACTGGAATTACTGAAAGCTTGAAGTATAGCTGGTGGTGAAGGTTTTATGAGAGAAACTGTTCACCTGCTGCAGAATTGCATTGCAAGGTTTACTTCCAAATGGAATTAGTTTGTATTTGGCCTATTTCCTGTCAAAGCTCATTCCTAAACACAATTTTCACAAAACATGACTATTGTAAATGACCATGCAGGATGAGCCATTCAGGAATGTTTTCAGTATCGATTTTTCATTTTCATGATCCTACCTGCTACTTTATAATATTAAGTTCTTTTAAGATGTATTGTTTGTATCACCATTTAAGGTTTTTGTTTTGTTTTGCTTTAACTATCAGATGGTCATTGACTTGATAAGCTTTAGTTCTTAAAGAATTGGGGAAGGACCAACATTTATTGAATATGAGTCATGTGGCAGCTCCTAAACTAAGAGATAGGAACTTGGATGTACATCTGTATTTAATTGTCACACGATCTGAAGATTGTGATATGACTGCACTTAGCAATAAATTATATAAAGTGACTGATTATATTCTTTTCATATCCCAGACCTGAAACTAGTTTCTTGTCATTTCATGGAGTATTTTGTTCTGAAAGGACTAATTGAGCTTAGATGTTGATGGATCGATACCTGGATTTCTGAGAGTTCATTAGGATTTTGTATGTTGCTTCTAGCTCTGTTTAGTTTTGATCTGGTTTGTCTTGCCACTTTGAATCTAGCCTGGAGTGTCTAGAGAAAGGCGTAATAGGTTTTGCTCTTCTGATGACCACTTTGATGGGTTAAATTTCTCCTTTCATTTGCCATCAGGACATGCCTATAACTGACCTTGCTACATGCTGGACTTTTGTATCCAAGACATTTGATAATGCCATAAACAAGTAATTACTAAATCAGTGGACTATTAAAAGTCGATAATGTTGAGAAATAGAGAAGAGGCAAGCTATCTGACAAGACGGTTTACTTTAATTAAATTGTTGAGTGATTAATATGGACAGTTGATGTGATGGCTTTAATCATATGCGTTTAGATCTTAGTGTGAATAAGAGATATGTCTGAAGCTATCCTTATGTTAATGGCAATACAATATTCTGTCTGTTGGAATCTATCTTTCCAGTGGTTCAGTTGAGGTTAATAACATGTTTTAAAGTTTGATTTGAACTTGCTCCTATTAATGAGTTATTAGAAAATAGATACCTTCTGTTCAGAGCAGTGTTTTGCTTTTTAGTTTTGCTTTAAAACGTTGATATTATTTGCGTTTTGGGTAGTGTTTCTTGAAAGTTTGATGAAACTTATTACAGAAAGAACTTTATGGTGATTTTAGAGAGGACATACGTATGAAGACCCTCAGTTTTAAAACTGAAATCATAATTGAAGCTATAGTATGAATTACTTAATTCATTTTTGTGGTGATCATAGTAATGGTGATTTTAAAAAGCCAAAACCCAAACCAAATACCAGTGTCTGATTAAATTCCAGATTTAACAACTAAGA